GCTCTGGAGGCCGATCGCCGGTGCGAGCCGTGCGACGCCTCATGCTATACCTGCAGCGGCGCCGCTTCGGACGAGTGTCTGTCCTGTGCCGGCGCCAAGGACATCCTGCACCAGGGCTCCTGCCTGGCCGAGTGCCCGGGCGCCGGGTTCTGGCTGGATGAGTCGGACCCCGCGGCCCGCGGCTGCCGCCCGTGCCTGGCCGGCTGCGATGTCTGTGACTCTGACGACTCGTGCTCGGCGTGCAAGGCCGGGATGGTTCTGCTGCGGTCGGAGGCCGGGGCCCTGTCCTGCGTGTCCGCCTGCCCGGCCGGGCTGTTCGCCCAGCTGGGCGAGTGCGCCGAGTGCGCGGAGGACTGCCACACGTGCACCGGGCCGGAGCCGGCCGACTGCCAGGTGACCTGGTGCCAGGCCGACGGCACCTGCACCAACAACCGGGCCCTGGCCATCGGGCTCGGGGTGGGTCTCGGCCTGCTGGTCCTGCTGTTGGCTGTGGCCGCAGTGGTGTTCGTCATTGTCCGCCGGCGGCGCACATCCAAGTCCGGCCCTGGCGATATCGACATGAGCACCTTCGGCAACATCATCGGTGCGTATGGTGCCCAGTGTTTCTTTCCTTGCTCCTGCCACTCGCCCCCTGCTCTTCCCCCTCCAGCGTCCGGGGGGTGGCGAAGGGGGAAAGGACGAGTGCTCCAGCTCACTGACCCTCTCGAGACCATTCAGATTGATATTGTCGGTGTCTGTGTCGGCGGCACGCTCGAGACGGCACGTCACCGTGGGATCCCTTCCTCGGCGGCGCGTACGCTCCCCCCGACCAAGGTGTGCATTTCGCCTCCCGTAGGGGCAGGCACAAGAGGTTGCCTGTCAGATGGCCGTGAAAAGCAAGGCATCGAGAGAGAGAGACAGAACAACAGAAGGAGTTCCTCGTGCCTCTCCCCGCACGCGAAGCGAGCAATGCACTTCTTTTGTGGTTCCCTCTGTGTGGCCGAGAGAGAGAGAGACGGAGAGGGAGGGAGAGAGGGAGGAAGAGAGAGGGGGAGGGAGAGAGGGAGGAAGAGAGGGAGGGAGAGAGAGAAGGAGAGAGGGAGGGAGAGGGGGAGGGAGAGAGGGAGGGAGAGGGGGAGG